TCCTGGTTGTGTTTGATGTAGTAGATGATGTACGCCGTCACCATGGAGAACCAGCCGAACATGGCGACGAACATGGCCACGTCGGTGGTCTTGTGGTGAAAGTTGCAGAAGTTGATCCCTGAGTCCAGGACCTGGATGACCGACTGTCCCACGTACTCCTCCTGCACCGCCGTGGAGCAGCTGACCTCGTTCACCGTCTCGGGGTCGAGCCTCAGTTCGCGCAGAACCTCCTGCAGAGAGCACTCGCAGTGCCAGGGGTTGTGGGAGAGGCGGATCCTGGCGTGAAGTTTGGCGAAGGTGTCCTTGGGGAGGCCGCTGAGGTGGTTGTTGGAGAGATCCAGGATCCGCAGGTTCTCTGAAATCCCCTGAAAGGCGCCGACCTCCACGCTCTCGATGGCGTTGTGGGATAAGTCCAGCTCCCTGAGGCGGTGGAGGTCTGTGAAGGCCTCTTGTGTGATGCGTCTGATCCGGTTGGAGGAGAGCAGGAGGACGACCGTGTCCTCGGGGAGGTTCGTCGGGACGCTCTCCAAGTTCCGTGAGGTGCACTGCACCACCACGCCGCTCCTGTCCGTGCAGTGACAGACTTTAGGACACGCACGGGCCGCCATGATCATCCAGAGGAGACCCAGGGCTTCAAAGGACCTGAAGCTCCGAGAGACCCCCATCAGTGGGCGGAGTCAACGCCAGGGGTCGCGTTGGAGGTCAAGTGTCGTCTCTGAGACATTGAATGCAGTCCAGGAAGTCCAGTCAGACACATGGATCCATGACCTGGAGAAGAAAAGACCTCCAGGACTTTAGGACTCTGAGGAACCACCTGAGGAACCTGCAGCAGCAGCAGCAGCTCTTATCCTGCAGAAGTAAGTCCTTCAGGCCACCAGAACTCTGGATCTCCATCACTTCAACTTTTCATCCGGACCACCCTGCAGGTTTCTGAGCATCTCGCCTGGAAGTCTGGAAGTTTTCATCTCCAGGGACCTTCAGCATCATGACCGTCCATGCTTTATCCTGAAGGTTGGAGGGACCAGAACTTGTTCAGGCTGAGAGTTGGAAAACAGTTCCTTCAGAGCCGGAGAAACCTGTGAGAAGAAGAGAGAAAGAGGTTAAGATGATCCTGAAGAACCTCAGAGCTGAACCTGAACCCTCCTCCTCCATCAAAGATCAGAGTGATCATAAAAATGACGTCTGGACTCATGGATAGGAGGTACATGAGAGCGCGGTGAAGAAGGTCAGAGTATGAATGAAAAGACGACAGAGATCAGCTGATCGGCGGCAGGAGGACGAACGTCACACGAGTTTCTGCAGAAAAAAAAGACGAGTAATAAAAACGTGTCGGAGGAAATCATCAGAGGAGGAAACGAACGAAGATCTAAACTCAAAAAAACAACCACAGAGCAGAAGATAACGTCAGATATACTCATAAATATATGTACTAATATAAATATAAATATATGTACTAATATAAATATTAATATATGTACTAATATATGTACTAATATAAATATAAATATATGTACTAATATATATATATAAATACATGTACTAATATATATATAAATATATGTACTAATATAAATATTAATATATGTACTAATATAAATATAAATATATGTACTAATATATGTACTAATATAAATATAAATATATGTACTAATATAAATATAAATATATGTACTAATATAAATATTAATATATGTACTAATATAAATATAAATATATGTACTAATATATATATAAATATATGTACTAATATATGTACTAATATAAATATAAATATATGTACTGATATAAATATAAATAAATGTACTAATATAAATATAAATACATGTAATAATATATATATATAAATATATGTACTAATATAAATATAAATATATGTACTAATATAAATATAAATATATGTACTAATATATATATAAATACATGTACTAATACAAATATAAATATATGTACTAATATATATATAAATATATGTACTAATATATATATAAATACATGTACTAATATATATATAAATACATGTACTAATACAAATATAAATATATGTACTAATATAAATATAAATATATGTACTAATATAAATATAAATATATGTACTAATATAAATATAAATATAAGTACTAATATATATATAAATATATGTACTAATATAAATATAAATATATGTACTAATATAAATATAAATATAAGTACTAATATATATATAAATATATGTACTAATACAAATATAAATATATGTACTAATATAAATATAAATACATGTACTAATATAGATATAAATATATGTACTAATATAAATATAAATATATGTACTAATATAAATATAAATATAAGTACTAATATATATACATATAAATATATATATATGTGTATATAGTCAGACCACCTGGACCTCTAACTGAAGAGTTTCCTCTGCAGCGTCAAAGAGAGTCAAAGTGAGTTTATCTGAGAGGCAGCTCCTACCTGACAGTCCGTACTGAGGGTTCATCCTCAGGAGGGTCCGATGAGACGTCCTCACACACACAATAACAATGATCATGTTAATGATGATTATAATGATGGTGGAGGTCCACAGAGAGAAACGGCAGCAGAGTCCAGAGTCCAACTGTCCGATCGCAGTTTACAACCTGCTGTCAGTCAGTGCAGCTTTGCAGCAGCTGGCTTTCTCTCTTACTCTGAGTGTGTGTGAGAGAGAGAGAGAGAGAGAGAGATAGAGTGTGTGTAAGAGTGTGTGTGTGTGTGTGGATATAAAGACGCAGAGGCGCAGCAGCAGTGTAATTTGCCCCGCTGTGGTCTCTTGTTCTCCTCTGCTGGACCTGAGAGGAAGCAGGAGCTAATACTATTAAACACCTCCTCATCCTCCTCCTCCTCCTGCTCCTGTGTCGGACTGTAAATAACATCTATAGTTTATCATCGAGTATCAAACCTGTTTATTAAATGACCTCTGCTACTTCAGAAAACGATTGATCAGTCCTCTAAATGCAGGAAAGTGTATTTTTCAGTTTTAAAACCGTTTATTTTTAGTTAATTTTATATTTCACAGAAGAACATCTATACCACAGGATAATGTCATATTATGTAAGAAATAAAAGAATATCAAAGTCATCATGATTTGAACATATTTTATTGAAGGACAAACTTCATATTGAACACTCTTCTCACTGTTCGTCATCGAGTTTCATCCTTAAAGAACGGCGTTTGGATTATTCTCACTTTGTGGCGTTTTCACTGATGTTAAAAGTCTAAACGGGTCTCTGACAGTCTCTGCGCTGACAGCCAGCGCTCGGTGACCCTGTCCCGTGTCGGACTCTCTCATTTTTCATAAGCATTGATTTTTCCTGATGGAGGACTTCAGGTCTGATGTGGATGATGACAAAAGACCTCTGAGCTGTACCCTCCAGAGACTAACAAACCCACCTGGACCGGGCCGGCGCTCTGCACAGCATCTGTGTGATTAAATGTTCGGGACGTCAATTTTGCTGAAAGGCAGAATCATTGATGGTATTGACCGCTGAGTGTGCACTGCAAAAAAGGAGGGTCTAAAAACGAGATAAAAACAAGATAAAAACAAGATAAAAAGACTGAATCTGAGAGAAAAGGTCTAAAACAAGATAAAAACAAGATTAAAACAAGATAAAAAGACTAAATCTGAGAGAAAAGGTCTAAAAACAAGATAAAACAAGATAAAAAGACTAAATCTGAGGGGAAGGAGTAAAAACAAGATAGAAAGACTAAATCTGAGGGAAAAGGTCTAAAACCAAGATAAAAACAAGATGAAAACAAGATGAAAAGACTAAATCTGAGAGAAAAGGTCTAAAAACAAGATAAAAAGATTAAATCTGAGAGAAAGGGGACTAAAAACAAGATAAAAAGACTAAATCTGAGAGAAAAGGTCTAAAACAAGATAAAAACAAGATTAAAACAAGATAAAAAGACTAAATCTGAGAGAAAAGGTCTAAAAACAAGATAAAAAGACTAAATCTGAGGGAAAAGGTCTAAAACCAAGATAAAAACAAGATGAAAACAAGATGAAAAGACTAAATCTGAGAGAAAAGGTCTAAAAACAAGATAAAAAGATTAAATCTGAGAGAAAGGGGACTAAAAACAAGATAAAAAGACTAAATCTGAGAGAAAAGGTCTAAAAACAAGATAAAAACAAGATAAAAAGACTAAATCTGAGAGAAAAGGTCTAAAAACAAGATAAAAAGACTAAATCTGAGAGAAAAGGTCTAAAAACAAGATAAAAACAAGATAAAAAGACTAAATCTGAGAGAAAAGGTCTAAAAACGAGATAAAAACAAGATAAAAACAAGATAAAAAGACTAAATCTGAGGGAAAAGGTCTAAAATCAAGATAAAAACAAGATAAAAATGAGATAAAAAGACTAAATCTGAGAGAAAAGGTCTAAAAACAAGATAAAAACAAGATAAAAACGAGATAAAAAGACTAAATCTGAGAGAAAAGGTCTAAAACAAGATAAAAACAAGATAAAAACAAGATAAAAAGACTAAATCTGAGAGAAAAGGTCTAAAAACAAGATAAAAACAAGATAAAAAGACTAAATCTGAGAGAAAAGGTCTAAAAACAAGATAAAAACAAGATAAAAAGACTAAATCTGAGAGAAAAGGTCTAAAAACAAGATAAAAACAAGATAAAAAGACTAAATCTGAGAGAAAAGGTCTAAAAACGAGATAAAAACAAGATAAAAACAAGATAAAAAGACTAAATCTGAGGGAAAAGGTCTAAAATCAAGATAAAAACAAGATAAAAATGAGATAAAAAGACTAAATCTGAGAGAAAAGGTCTAAAAACAAGAAAAACAAGATAAAAACGAGATAAAAAGACTAAATCTGAGAGAAAAGGTCTAAAACAAGATAAAAACAAGATAAAAACAAGATAAAAAGACTAAATCTGAGAGAAAAGGTCTAAAAACAAGATAAAAACAAGATAAAAAGACTAAATCTGAGAGAAAAGGTCTAAAAACAAGATAAAAACAAGATAAAAAGACTAAATCTGAGAGAAAAGGTCTAAAAACGAGATAAAAACAAGATAAAAAGACTAAATCTGAGGGAAAAGGTCTAAAATCAAGATAAAAACAAGATAAAAACGAGATAAAAAGACTAAATCTGAGAGAAAAGGTCTAAAAACGAGATAAAAACAAGATAAAAACAAGATAAAAAGACTAAATCTGAGGGAAAAGGTCTAAAATCAAGATAAAAACAAGATAAAAACAAGATAAAAAGACTAAATCTGAGAGAAAAGGTCTAAAACAAGATAAAAACGAGATAAAAACAAGATGAATTATCTGTCCATGCAGATTTCTTGAATGAAGATTGTTCAGTCTAGAAATAATCATGTCTACAAATGTATTTGGAAGATTAAAGTCAGACAAACATGCTGGTTTAAGATCAGATGATTAAAATCAGTGAAATCGACTTCATGTGATCATAAAAAAGTCTAAAATGCAGTTTAGTTTAGTTTTTGTCTCAGTAAGAATGATTGAAGACGGAGACAGTGGGACTCTGGACGAGCTGAGACGGTTACGGACATGTACAGCAGCAGAAGAAGAAGAAGAAGATCACCTCTGCGCCCAGAAACAGCCTTTCTTCTTCTCTTCTCTGGAACCTTCTGATGGTCCTCCACGGGTCAGAGGAGGAGGGACAAACTCACTGTGACTCATGAAAGAGGACATCAGCAGATCACCTGATCTCTCCAATTAGACTTTGTCCGACTTGGCTCGTCCGAAACACGTAAAGGCCTCCTCTGCCCCGCACTGGCTCGCCATTACGATTGGAGCGGGTCCATGCTCTCACTCAGCAGAACTGTAAAAAACCCGGAGCGAGGAGGAGTGTGTGTGTGTGTGTGTGTGTGTGTGTGTGTGTGTGTGTGAGTGTGTGTGTGTGTGTGTGTGTGTGTGTGTGTGTGTGAGTGTGTGTTAACTCCTTGTTAGTGACAGTGATTGCACAACTCCAATGTCAGTGCGTCTCTGCAGCAGGAGAGTCAAAGTCCTGATCAGGGAGAGGTCGATGGACACCGGGGGGCAGCTGTGAGGACAGGGACTCTGCAGACTGGATCACTGTTGGTGTTTGTGTCGTTCATGAACGATTCGTTCAAAAGAGCCACACTGCTGAGTGAACAACGTGAACGGACTCACTCCGTGACCTGAGTCGTTCCTGTCTCAGACCAGTCGAGCTCAGCTGTGAACCAGCCTTCATACTCATTTGAAGTCTTCTTAATCCCATCAGAGTTTTTTTATCTTGTTTTAGACCCCCCTGTTTTACAGTGCTGGATGGGGGGTGTCAGGAGTCCAGGACTCAAAGGGAGGTGGACTTGTCCCGACTCTTCTCCACTAACCTGCCCTCAGAGCTGCTGCTGTTGTTGCTCTTCGGTTCACTCAGTTTTCCCGCCTCACATCCAGGTCCTCGGTCAGCTGCAGCAGCTGCGAACCTCTCCCGGCTGGACCTGGGCCAGTAATTATGGTCCAGATCCTCAGACAGGTTCTTGGCTCTCACTCAGAGTGATTCTTACTCTCCCCTTGAATCCTGAGACCAGGAGGCCGCTCACCTGTCCATCCCACATTAAAATTCCTGTCCTGGTCTTTGAGACATCCGTTTCCCTCTGCTGTATTCTGGACGTCACATGATCTCAGCGCTCTGTGACCAACCATGAAACCGGGCCGGCTGTCCGTCCTTGAGGACAGAACAGGTCTAAACATGAGAACATTTGATCCTCCTCATATCCTGTGAACCTGAGCCCAGAACCCGCTCTGGTTTACCCGCTTTACCCCCCGTGACACAAACTCACAGCTGCAGAATCGAACCAGCAGAGCAGAACAACAACGGACTGTTGGGTTTGTTCCCACACATCCAGGTGTAGTTCCTGTACCAAGAGTAGTGTGCACAAGGTTAAGTATTTGATGCAGGTTTATTTTTTCTACCAGGAGTAGTTTTTGTACCAAATTTAGTTTTTCTTATGTTTTGTTTTTGTTCTCGGTTTAGTTCATATACCAGGTTAGATTTTTGTATGAGGTGAATATTTGGAACCAATTTTATTTTTTTGTACCAGGTGTAGTTTTGGACTGGATTAAGTTTTTGTACCAGGTGTAGTTGTGTACAAAATGTAGTTTTTGTTATGTTTTGTTTTTGTACCAGGTTTAGTTTTTGTACCAGTTGTAGTTATTGTACCAGGTTTTGCTTTGGACTAGGTGTAGTATTTTTTTTTACCAGGTTTAGTTTTTGTACCAGGTGTAGTTCCTGCACCAGATTTAGTTTTTTTTACCAAGTTTGTTTTTTGAACCAGGTGTAGTTTTTGTTCTGGGTTTATAATTTGTACCAGGTTTAGTGCTTGTGCTAGGTTTATTTTTTTGTACCAGGTGTAATTTTGTGCCTGGTTAAGTTTTCTGTGCCAGGCTTAGTTTTAGTACCAGTTGTAATTTTTTTGTACCACGTGTAGTTCCTGCACCAGGTTTATTATTTGTACCCAGTTTAGTTTTAGTACCAGGTGTAATTTTTTTGTGTCATTTTTTTGTACCTGGTTTAGTTTTCTGTGCCAGGTTTAGTGTTAGTACCAGGTGTAACTTTTTTGTACTAGGTGTAGTTTTTGTACCCGGTTTATTTTTTTGAACCAGGTGTAGTTTTTGTGCCTGGTTTAGTTTTCTGTGACAGGTTTAGTTTTAGTACCAGGTGTATTTTTTTGTACCACATGTAGTTCCTGCACCAGGTTTATTATTTGTACCCGGTTTATATTTTTAGTACCAGGTGTATTTTTTAGTTTTGAGGGGTTTTTTTTCACTCAGCTGTTTAAAGTCTCCAGAGGATGAACCTCAGTCCTCATCTTCTCATGTCTCATCAGACTCTCGGTCAGAAAAATGAGGCGAAAAAAACGAGTCACAGAAAGAAAAAATGAAACTTTATTCGTTTTTATACTTACCAACACTTTAAAATTAAAAGCTATGTAATAATTACTCACAACTAATATAGATCTGCACAATGCAAATAAACCAATCCAAAAGAGTTACAAAGTTCTATCACTTTAGTTTTTTGTTCCCAAACTGCAGTACACACAAAGAAAAGCTGAAAACAAAGAGATCAGGTCTGGTCGTCCTTTACTTCCTGCTGTTCCCGCCACAATAAAAGTGGATTAAATTAAAAAAAACAAAAAACTTTTTATCTTATTAAACTACACAGCTCCTCTGATCCTACACTAAGAAGTCGATCATAACTGAATAAATAATTGCACATTGCACCCCTATTATTGCATTAGCTGCAGTTTGTTTCAGTATACTCAGCCATAAACACAAATGTAAATACAGTTTTAAACACTGAGTAACACATGAATACTGATGTCATTAAAGTCACACTGCCATCACCTAACAACTCAATAATCCTGCTTTAGAGTCAGATTCATCAGGTCGGATCTGACGTTTACAAAGTTTCAAACAGAATTTCAGTTTCTTCATTTGACAGACGATCCCCGTGAATAATCCAAAAGAAAAAAGAAATACAAGTTCATCATCTGAACGCTAGAAGTACGACCGGAGCTCACATCAACATGTCAGAGTTATTGCAGAATAACGACGGGGTTCAGAACAGCATTTGGTCCGTTTACGAAATCACACCGGAGAGAGTGAAGTTCGACGTTTTGAGAGGAGAGCCGAGTTTCGTTTCTGCCGAGAGCGACGGCGACGAGTAGACGAGAAATCGGACTGACCGCTTGGTCCATGAAGCTCCACAGATCTACTACCCGGATGTAAACAAACTCAGCTGACGGGTTTTTCCAGACCGCAGTAATCAGTCACTGTTTATTTATATGATGGAGATAAAGTTATGTGTTCACTGCAAAGGATTCAGTTCTGAACAAGAAAACAAAAACAAGCGTAGATCCAGAAGTGTTGGATCATTTCTCCTGATTTCAGAGTCTTTAAGTTTCCACTGTAATCTTCTCTCCAACAATCTTCTCTTCTGTTTGTCTCCAATAGTCAGAAAATCACCTTAAAATCTGCATTTTATACTTTATGTTTTATGTTTATATTTAGTTTATTTCACTGATTTTAGGGCTGGAAAAGTTAAATTTTAATCATCTGATCTTAAACCAGCATGTTTGTCTGACTTTAATCTTCCAAATACATTTGTAGACATGATTATTTCTAGACTGAACAATCTTCATTCAAGAAATCTTGTTTAGTGAAATGATCTTGCTGCATGGACAGATCATTTATCTTGTTTTTAGACCTTTTTCCCTCAGATTTAGTGTTTTTATCTTGTTTTTAGTGTTTTTATCTTGTTTTTAGTGTTTCTATCTTGTTTTTAGACCCTCCTTTTTTTGCAGTGTAGACTGGTTTAACTGGTTAAACAGAAATTCTTTTATCTGCAGATTCAATCGTCTCATCGTTTTGACCGAAGATAACTCGATAACTAGCGGTGTCTCTGTGATTGGCTCTAATCTCGTCGTCTGAGGCCACAAAGCGAACGCGCCGGTCTCCCAAAACCCCAAAGGTCGACTCTCAGTCCGGTTTAGGCTCAGGTTAAAGAAAGCAAAGAGAAGCAGGAAGCTGCTATTCAAATTAACGTGATTGGTCAATAACATTCAACAGCTGTTTGTATGTTTCCAAAGAGGGCGGAGCTCAGCTGTAGCTCAGGGGTTACTCCAGCTGTCCAATCGTGTTAATAGAATCAAATACTGGATCAATTATCATCCAAACCTCCCTCTCAAATAAAACACGACAAAACCGACTTAGCTTAAACGTCGACAACAGAAGTCGGAAGTGCATCGCCACACGGTAAAGAAAGAAATACACGCCGGTTTTTCTGGAAACCAGTCGAGCAGGAATCGTCATCCAACTTGTCCTCTTCTAAATAAAAACCAGACAAAGTCCCGACAACAAAAAGACATTCAAACGAATGCGTCAAATCAACCGTATGACAACGAAATCAAAAAAACCACAAGATGAACAATCTTGAAAAAGAGACTGAGTGGTCACGTCCGCCCAGGCCCCGCGGGTTCCCCCCAATGAACCCCTGAACATTCCTTGGCCCAAAAAAACACCGTCCGGCTCGGTCCAAACGCCCACGCCTCTTTTTTCCTTGTTTCTTCGTAGAAATAATTTCCCACCAGCAGCCAGAAACAAGGAAAAACAGCAGAGAGGTTTGGGCGCAACACTCGGCTTTTGAGTCCAACTGAATCCTCCCGAATCAGAGGCAGTCCAGAGTAAAGTGTTGAATAGTCTATTGCATGAGCGCCGCGTAGTCGACTATTATGCTAAGTCACAATAGTCATTGTACAAAACAAATACAGTATTTTCATAATAATAATAATAATAATAAGACTAAGTTAGTAAACAATCATCAAAATTTTCAGTTTCAGTGTTTTAGCGACTGATTTTTCTCTAATCCCCATTCATGCATCTATATACTAATAATCAGAGTTAATAGAAGGAGGCTATGTCGGAGAGCGTTTCCTCTGGGCGGGGAGGAGGGCGAGATGTGAACGGCCAAAAGAGCAGAAAAAGTGAGCGGAAAAAAGAAGAGGAGCGCAAATCTATAATCTATAATCATAATCAATAATAATAATAATCCTCAGATTAGCAGGAGCACGAACACTGAACAGGTTTACTCAAATACACGACCGTACGACGACACTGAACACATGCAATATAAGCAAGAATGTAAATACAGGAAATCAACATGAGAAGGGAGCGCCGCCGCCGATCCATCCAGGAAACCCCATATGAACCGCGCACGTGCGAAACGTGCGCCACCTCCTCTCTTGGCGTTTCAATGTATTTTACAGCATTAAGTCGCTTCCTACCCGACTGCGCTAGCGCAAATTAACTTCACCTTAAAAACTTTATTTAAACTACTGATTGTTTCAGAAACAAGATGGCGATGTGACAGGCTAGCTAGCAGGAGGCTCAAGGGCTAATTCGCTAGAGCTCCTGCGCAGACCAGTGAGACCTTTTGGGCCACAGAGAGCGCCACCACCAGGTCAGAATTATGGTTCTCTGACTTTTCACAGTGTCCGGGTTTTACGACAGAGTATTAGGGCCACATTAAGAAAAAAAAAATTAATGACTCCTTAATTACTAATGAGAATAAAGTCGTAGTTAATTATTTATTTACGAGAATATAGTAGTTATAAAATTGTTACTTACAAGAATAAAGTCGTAATAAAATCATTACTTAAGAAAATAAAGTCGTCAAAAATTAATCTCTTACAGGAATAAAGTCGTAATTTAATCATTTCTTACGAACTCTGCAGTTCCAAACATTTCCTCCTCCACAAAAGCAGCTTTAAGACTTCATTTACTTTTCAAATTTATTCTCGTTAGTTATTACTTTAATACTTTAATACGACTTTATTCTTGTAAGTAATGACAAAGTCTTGTTTTTTTTTTTCTTATTTCATTTATTTCCTAAATTAAATTAATTAACAAGAAGCCGACACATTCTGGACGATGAATTTCAGTGTTTTTAACAGCGTTTCAATTTCAACACTGAAATATTCACATTCATTCAAGTCCTTCAGAACTACGCTGCAGTTTTGGAGTAGGAACCTTTAATCGTAAGACTGGGCGCCATTTTCTTGACTTTCCGGCGCTCTGCTTCAGTCGGGGGAAGAACTGCGTTCAGGAGAGAAGAAAAGCGTGTGGCTGTTATAACGTGAAGCGTCCTCTCCGACTGAAGCGAGCGCGCTGATGCTGAAGCTGCCGCAAAGATGGCTAGTAGAGGAAGTGACCTACATTTCGCACACGTGCAGTAAAATCAGGTTTTTGGGACGCAATATTTATTCTTGTAGGACGGTAGGGGAATGTCCCGCCTCCTTCGCCTCTGATTGGTTAGAAAAGCTGGAAATGTCATCACACGCTCAAGCCAACATTATCGCACTTCTGAATCTCCTAATCCTAATCCTAACCCTTACTCTAACCCAAACCCTAAACCTAACCCGACAGACGATGATGTTTCACAGCCAACACCTTCAGCACTTCTAGCCAATCAGAGGCAAAAGAGGGCGGGACCTTCCCCTACTATCCTCCAATAAGAAAAAACTAGCTTCTGGAATGGATCAGGTAGCGACAGGGAGGCTGGAGGAGTGATACCATTGGCTTAAAAGGGTCATGTGATGCAGCAAAGAGTCATGGGTAGAGATTGGATTTGTAGAGTATACAAAGATGCAAATTAGGACAAAAGTCGGAACAGTCCGATGTTTTTTTGTTTTCGAATGGAGGATCGAAATCCGATCGTTTGGCTACATCCCACCACACACTCTGCTGCCGATAGCATCACTGAGCAGCTGTTTATGCAAAGTACTACGTTTTCTACGAAAGTTCGATCGTTACTAGACTGGAGTTGAAATGATGATCTATGACGCAGCACTGACAGAGAGAGAGAGAGAGAGACAGAGAGAGAGAGAGAGAGAGACAGAGAGAGAGAGACAGAGAGAGAGAGACAGAGAGAGAGAGAGTAACACAAGTTTGTCCTAATAAAAACATTCAACATGCTTCGACAGTTCTCTAAAAAAAAAAACCTAATCAACAGAGAAAGTTTCTTTTTTCTTTTTTTTTTACGTTTCAGTTTGGCTCTCGGAAACAGAGATGAGCGCCACCGCCCTCCCCGACCGACCAATCAAGAGCTTAGGGGCCGGCCGGGGGCGGGGCAGGGAGGCCGTCAGCCTTTTTCAGAGAGCCAGAGCCAGAGTCCGGAGGGCTTCATCATCAGGGTTGTCTTGGCGGTAGTCAGTCATTGGAAAGGGCCAAACGGAGGAGCCAATCAGGGATCTCAGGATGTGGTCATGGAAGATGGATCGTTCCACATGGCCGCCACGTCCCTGAACCTGGAGACGACGAACGGGGACAGGTGAGACTTCAACTGCAAATGATTGAGTTCTTACCAGGACAAAAAAAAATGACAATATCTAAAAAAATAAAAAATTATAACAAAAATAATGATAATAAAAAAATTAAAATAGATAAAATAAAAATAATGATAATATTAAAAATGATAATAATAATAATAATAATAATAATAATAATAATAATATAATAATAACAATCATAATAATTACAATAATTAAATTTAAAAAAATGATAATAATAAAAGAAATAATAATAATTATAAAATTAATGAAAATAATAATTATAATTATAATTATATGAATAATTATTATGATGATAAAAATAATAATAATATTAATTATACTAATAAAAATAATAAAAATAATTAAGATAAAAAATATTAGTAGTAGTATTATTTTAATCATTTTTTATTATAAATTTTTATAATGATAATTATAATAAAATTTTTGAAAAAAAATAATGATAATAATACTAATAAATAAATAATAATAACAACAACAACAATAATAATACTAATATAATAATAATAATAATAATAATAATAATAATTCAGTCACTATCTAAACTAAGAAACAGGTAGTTGTTTGATACAGTTTAGTTCTGGGACATGGTTCTGTCTGGATCTGGGACATGGTTGATACGGCCCAAACCTCAGACCAGGTACTAATCAAAGGTAGCTTAAGGATTTAGTATCAGAACAGGATCGAACCTTGCATTGATGAGGTACTGGGCCAGGCTGATGTTGGCGGGGGTTCCTGTGATGGTGATCTGGCGCTCCGATGACCCTTCCATGGCGTTAGCAATTTTGATCTGCGCCCCAGACATCTGACGGATCTCGTTGATTTTGGTTCCCTGGCGCCCGATTATGCAGCCTATTAGCTGGGAAGAAAAAGGAGGGCCATGAAAGAGGCGGACAGACCCGTTTGTTTGTGTTAGCCTCCATCGGACCGGGCCCGTGAGTCTTCTCCATTAAGGACATCCACTTCACAAAGTGGACTCCCTGGACTGTCTGTCTCTGCTGAACTGTGGAGACTCAGATCTGCAGAGCTGAGCTGCTGTCAGACTGAATCTCCAGAGAGTCTCCTGAACACAGATCTATAGAGATTAGACAGGGTCTGTGTCTGTGTCAGCTCCTGACCCGCTTTCTATTTCTATTTCAATTTAAATTTAAATTTTAAATTCAATTTCAATGAGATTTATTGACATTATTGGTACTACAATACTGCCAAAGTGTTTTAACACAAAAATAAAAACAACAATAACAGTAAAATAATAAATAAATAAATAAATAATAATAATGATATCAATAATAAAAATAACGCTAAAAATAATAACAATGAAAATAATAATAATAGTAGCAGTAATATAAATAATATAAATAATAATAATAATAAAATAATGATAATAATAATAACAATGAAAATAATAATAATAGTAGCAGTAATATAAATAACATAAATAATATAAATAACAATAATAACTATAATAATAAAAATAATGATAATAATAACTAATAACTAAAAATAATTATAATTATAACAAAATAATAATAAAAAATAATAATAATAATAATAAAAATAATTATATAATAAAATAATATAAAAAATAATAAAAATGTTAATAATAAATAATGATTATGATAATAAAAAACAATGATGTAAAAATATAACAATAATAATAATAATAATAATGAAAATAACAACAATAATGTAAAATAGTAATAATAAAAATATGAAGAAAATAATAATAAAAATAACCATAATAATCATAATAATATCTGTTATGCACCTTATTAGGGATCTGAAAAGTGTGGGAGCTAAAGAGATGTTTGAAACCCGGGAGTATAGAGCTATGACATGTAGAGAGGGGTTCTGTCGACATTGACCTCCGGCTTTCTGCAGATTTAATGGATGACCTTAATGATTTTTATAATCAGGTCTAAACGGATCAAACTCAGAGACTTTACTCCTTTAAAACTCAGAGGAGACTTTGCTGTGGTCTTTGGGTGAGATTACACTTTGTTATACAATCCTGAAAAAATAATAATAATCTGGAATAAAAATGATGGCTAAAAACAGGAATATCTGAAGTTAGTGAATCAAAATGATCTACGTAGGAACGAGTGAGTTTGGAGGCTGGTGTACTCACATCATTGGGAATGGTGAGTTCATGAGTACTGGCCTGGTTACTGGCATCCAGACCTGCTGCTGCTCACAGGAAGTGGGGGAGGGAGGCAGAGAGAGAGAGAGGGAGGAAGAGAGGGAGGGAGAGGACATAAAATAGAGTTTGGCACATGGAGCATCGATGATGAACTGCAGTCCTGGAGTGTTTTCACAGACCCAACTATTGACCCCCAACATTTCTGTGTGACTGGAGGGTAAGGCTGCACGATACTGTAAAAAACTAACGGGTCAGTTTTTTTTAACCCTGCAATATCGATCACGATATTAAAAAGTAGAGGAATTTTCAGCAGAGAACACGTGTTTTAGTCGACGTCATCCGTCCTGTAACTGAAATAATTCCAGATAACTGACTTTCCTTTTCTTTTTGCCAACAAGTCTTCATCTTCGGTGGTTTTCTCTTGTTTTTTTCTCATTTTACAATCGTTGTTGTTGTTAGCAGTGAAACACATGTCCGCCGATAATTGCATCCACCTCGCAAAACGTGCACCGCCAATAGTAGAGTGGTCCACGGAAATGTACAATTTCAAACCCATACAGTTCTTATTTGTGATGAGTAATATTCTTAAAGTATGCGTTTGTATGGAAGTCAATCTGTGCCATCTGATTTTGAATTTGAGTTTCTAAAGCTGAATTTTTTTGCATCAAAATCAGAATTTGAATTTCAAAACTATTAAATTTAATGCAAAAATGCATGCACGCATTTTTATTTCTGACACTTTTTTTTCACAATGATGAAATAAATTCAGTGTAAAAAAATCAGTCTCTCAAAAGATTTGTTCAGTAAATTCAACTTAAAAAATGTGTAAATATAAAAATAAATAAATGTAAAAAAATTCAACATAAAAAAATTCAAAGTCAAAAAATTGAGTGTAAAACAGACCGACTCAATCATCCATCGGCCAGCCAATCAATTAATGCTGGGTTGGTCATGTGACACCGACCCCAGTGGACGAGTGAGGAACTGATTGCTTCTCCCTGATTACCCAGATGTTAAGTCGGTCTGTTTTACACTCAATTTTTTTAAACAGAACTTTTTTTTTTATGTTGAAATATTTTTATGTTGAATTTTTTGGCATTTATTTATTTTATATTTACACAGTTTTTTTAAGTTGAATTTTTACTAAAAAAATCTTTTGAGAGACTGATTTATTTTATTTTACACTGAATATATTTCATCATTATGAAAAAAATAAGTATAAGAAATAAAAATGCGTTCTTGAAATTCGATGGTTTTGAAATTCAAAGTCTGATTTTAAGGAAAAAAAGTTTAGCTTTAGAAATTCTAATTCAAAATCAGATGGCACAGATTGACTTCCATACATTTCTCGGCACAACACCGGCAGCGCCAGCGACTCACTCCATGTGTGGGGGCGTGGTTTCCTCCTCTCTGATCTGATTGACAGCTGGCAGGGTAGTCTGATTGGCAGCTGAGTAAAGAATGAATGTGATTGGTGGATCGCTGCAGAGTCACATGTCAGTGTTTGTCAGTCAGTTACCCTTGAAATAAGACGAGTTCATTCTCCTCCTACATCGCAGGCTCTGACATGTGACTATCGCGCACACCTACATCGCCATGACGACGCTCAAACGATATATCGTGCAGCCCTACCGGATAGTCCGGAGCCCAGACCCTGAGAACTCAGAGCTCCTTCAAAACAGGGACACCAGAGAACGAAAGAAAAACCTCAACATGGACAAGAGCAGACCACCAGCAGGCCATGTCACGTGATTCTGACCGAGAGGAGGAGACGACGAGAAGAGGAAGAGGAAGAGGAAGAAGAAGAAGAGAGCGACAGCAGGACAGAGAAAGAGAAGTCAAAGGAGGAAGAGAGAGTGTTTGTCTCTACAGGTAAAAACGAGAGAAGGAGCTGCGGTAAAGAGGGTTCGTCGTGTAGGTGGGTACGTACCGGGGAAGGCAGGGGTGGTCTGTCCGAGGGGGGTAAAGGGGGTTTGCTGCATAGCCAACTGGTGGAGCTTGCTCAACTGCTGAGGGGGGGAGGAGGAGGACAGCAGAGCTATGAGGTCATTGTTAAAAACACACACAGAAAGTCACACACACACACACACACACACACGCTCACACACACACACACACACAGGCGCACAGGTGTGTCTGAAAAACACTCAGAGAGTAGAGAGAGGATCTGAGGAGACGAACCGACACAGACCGGTGAGGACAAAGACAGAGAAACCAGAGAAGAAGAAGAAGAAGAAGAGGAGACTCATGGAGGACTCGACCCGATTCCTGTTTCAGTGAACTCAAACCGTACGCAGACGACGCTCTGATTTACAATAAAAAACAAGATTAAAACACTAAAAACAAGATAAAAGAGACTAAAAACAAGATAAATGATCTGTCCATGCAGCAAGATCATTTCACTGAACAAGATTTCTTGAATGAAGATTGTTCAGTCTAGAAATAATCATGTCTACAAATGTATTTGGAAGATTAAAGTCAGACAAACATGCTGGTTTAAGATCAGATCATTAGAATTTAACTCTTCCAGCCCTAAAATCTGTGAAATCGACTAAATCTAATCATGAAGTCTAAAAAACTTTAACTTTCGACCTCTCAAATTGAAAAACCACATCTTACAACCAGAATTTAATGCTTATTTCTACAATGAAAATTCTGAACTTAAGAAATTTTGTAATTGCAAAATATGTCACTGCTTATATTTAGTATAAATCACATATTTTTAGGCTGTAAAAAAGTTCCTTTTTAAATAATCTCATCTTAAAACCAGTATGTTAAACTTATTTGATGTTTATATTTAGTAAGGCCAAACATCTCAGCTAAGTCCAGTTGTCCTTCTAAAGAGAGTCAGATTTTGATTTTGATCCTCAGAGGAACAGAAAGAAGTCGGTGTAAATTGACACGTTAACTTGAATGGTTACGATCAGCTACGATCGGAGGATACGACCTTTTAGGAGACGGTCAGGATGAAGGTGGAGGTCGGGGGTCAGTCTGACAGATTTTCAGGCCGAGCCTCATGAGTTTTAAGGCCACAGAAAAGGGCGCAGGGGGGGAAGAGTCAGAAAGTTAGAAGAAACAGGAAAGACATCTCAGAACAAAAGCTGTATTAATATTAAGAGTTAATATTAATATGGGTGGAGAGAGAGAGAGAATAAAAGAGCGGCGAGTCAAAGAGAGAGAGAAACAGAGTCAGGGCGGTCTGGAGGCGTGAGCACTCACATCTGGATGAGGGATGGCGTACTGTCCTTGAATGGTATAAGCCTGCAAACAGCAGAGGAGGAGCTCATGGTTATCTTGATCAGGACGAGCACAGAAACACTGAGTCACTTTAAAAACAGGATCAAACTGTCGACCACTCACTCTCACAAACTCATGCACTAAACACTCACACTGTGTCTGCTGTTACTCATCAATCAGATCCAGTTGAACTACATCAATAAGGGATAACTGAGACAGACGGGGAGGTGGCGGGGAGGGCGTGAGGGAGGAACCAGAGGGGCGGCCCTGAGAGGAGGTTCGTGACCCCAGGTTACAGAGGTCACGGAGGTCAGGACTGAGCCGAGCTTCATTTAAATGTAGAAGTAATGTAAAATACAGAATATCTATGATTAATATTATATTATAATGGTAAATAGCAGTGGTGACTGGTCAATAGAGGGCGCTCTGTCTCACAGGATGTAGAATCACGCAGCCCTTCCTTTAAAAACAACATTTTTAAAATGACTTTTAAATGTAAATCCTGTGTTTTAAAAAGGCAAATTGAATAATATAGTTTGAGGAGAGGTAGTGAAGGAAATAATTCATAAGAAAAGGTCAGTTTAGAACTTTTTTAAATTTAAAATTTTTTAATTTTTTTTAAGGATATTTTTTTCCAAACTTTATTTGATTTCACAAAATATCATGAGAAATATCCTAGGTTTATTTTTGTTTTTATTTTTTTTGTTTTATTTGATTTTTTCAAGGATATTGTTTGTAACTTTATTTAATTTCACACTATGTTGTAAAAAATGTCCTGTTTTTTTTTTTTTGAAGTCATTTTTAAATTATCTATTTTTTATTCTTTAAATTTTTTCTTTTTCTTTATTCTTTAAATTTTTTCTTTTTCTTTATTCTTTGCGATTTCTTTTTCCAAACTTTATTTAATTTCACAGTATGTCTTCAGAAATGTCCTAAGGTGCATCTTTCCCCACTGACTCTCGTTATAATTTTGACATGCGCAGTTCGTGTCTCTTCAATTCAGGAAATACTTTACTGCTTTTCACCACCGGCCATGGGGTGGCAGCAGAGAGCGAGCGGTGTCGGAGTAATGCTGCGTTTCGAAATGGAAGAAAAGCGAAATCGGAGGCCTGAAACAAGATGGCTGCATCTACGAAAGTTATTTCAGCGCTTGCCTTTTATTCAGACATGGCAGTAATTCAGTAATTTATGGATTTTTCCACCGTAACTCCATGATTTTAGTTCAGCAGATCAGTTAAAAACACTGAGAGGAAAGTTTCTGTTTATCAGCAGATAAAAGGAAGAAAAAAAGCACCTTTCACTGACGGTAAATCGCAATTAAAGATGCGATTAATCATGATTTAACTGCGAAACATGACTTAAAAGAGTTATTTCCAGTTTGAGCAAACAGCTCCTAGTTAATCTGACTGATACCAGAGGAAGTGTTGTTGACAATCAGCAGGTAATCTGGACTGACCCAGGGCCAGTTCTCAATGTCCAAGTTGGTTTCCAGATAAAAACACTGAAGAAGGTTGTTTTACGTTCACATATAGACCTGAAAACAGTTCTGAAATGCAAAATAATGATATTAGTTAAAAAAGCGCAAGTAAATACGTGAATAATCGCGATTAACTGCTGAAATCGTGCGATTAATCGCGGTCAAACAGATTAATCAGGAACAGCCCTGCCCTGAAGGTGTCCTGTGTCTGCGCTGACCTCCTGCAGTTCATCTCCAGTCCACTAGGCGCCCCCAGTGAGCTGTCTGTCCTGATGACTGAGCTTCTCAGCTGTTTACCTGCTGCTGTCAGGCCAACAAGTTCAGGTGAGTCTTTTCACGTCTATGATATTAGTGCGTTTAGATTTTTCTGACAGTTTGTTCTCGTCTCGTCCGTTTTAAAGGTTGGATCTAAAATCGCCGCTCCTCTCCTTTTTCAGAACCGTAAAAACTTCTAACCAGAGGGTTTCTCAGCTGCTTTTTATAGAATTAGACTTCCTTAATAACAAACTCAAAGTTCACCAAAGTTTGACCACGAGAAAGGCGTCATTTTTAAGATCCCAGGTGAAAAAGGTAAAACTCAGATACCACCATGATATCTGAGTTTGTTATTAAGGACATCTAATATTATAAAAAAACAGCTGAGGAACCTTTGTTATGATTTTTTTAGGGTTCATTTATTTATTTGTTTTTTCATAAAACCCTCTTTTAAAAACCGGTCCTGGTCTTCCCGGTTCTGGTTGCGGCGGCTGCAGGTGAAGGAGAAGAGTGAGGGCAGCAGTGATGGTTTCATGCTCGTCCAGAGGGGAAGGGAAGAGGGGGGGGCAGTGAGGAAGGGAGGAAAAGTGAGTAAAACCTGGTGCGACACTAACAGGCAGTGGCTGGTGCTGCAGTAAGAGGCTGAGGTTGGCTGTGGACGCCCCCAGTGGGTCTGCTCTTACCTGGCCACCTGAAAAAATGACAGGGGTGGAGGCAGGCTTGGGGCGGTAGGGGATGGTGGCACCTTTCGGTGGGGACTGAGGAGAGCAAAAGGGGGCGAGAGTGGGGGGAGAAGAAGAAGAAGAAGAAGAAGAAGAAGAGGAGGAGGAGGTGTGGAGAGAGTGTGAGAGGAGGAGGAGGAGGAGGAGGAAAGAGAGAAAGAAAGAAACAGAAGTTGCATAAAGTGAGACCAAAGAGGGACGGTGCCTGAGGGAAGACGACCTGTGACACACTCACACACACAAAAGTGCTCTTCACTGTGTGTTCATGCCGGAGGAGAAAGTCCAAATCGTGGATCAGTGCACAACTAAACTGGATTTACCTGGACCAGGACTTTCAACTGGATAATGATGACTCCAACACTCTGCACTTGACTGTGTGTGTGGTGGTCTGTACTCTAGAGACTTACACTCATGTCACATATGTCCTAGTATCCATGGCTGCTGCCATCATGAAGGCCCAATGGAGAACTGGCTGTGCAGATAGTTTCAAATTAATGATGGAAAAAAAGGAGCTTTTTTTTATATAAAATGACTGAACATGAAATCAGAAACATGTTCCTGCTTTTTCTCTCTTTACCTAAGAAGGAAACTACGTCACTGAGTCTGAGCAGAAATGTGAACAAATGACTTAAAAACACACAAAAAAAACACCAAATTCTTTCAAAATAAAACACGACAGGCCTCTCTGTGTTTATGAAAATGTTAAAGGGACGGTTTAATTTCTTTAAAGAGGCGCTGACGCAGCATTAAAGTTATAATCCTTCAGATTTTCAGAGCAGCAAACTCTGTTTTTACTCTCTGTCATGATTTAACTAAGAAAATGTACGGTGGCCAAGAGCTGCCACTGCTGCAATTAAAAAAGAATGCAAAAAAAAGAAGTCAGTGGAAGTTACTGATGCAAAAAAAAAACAAACAAACAAAAACAGAAAAAAAAAAAAAAAGGAGGCTGCTGCCAATAAAAATAATTAAAAAAAACTGTGTAGATAAAGAAATAAATAAAGCCACATTGGAAGGTAACAATGCAAAAAAAAGTGGCGATGTAAAAAAAAAAAACTGTGAAAATAAAGAAATGCAAAAAAAAAAAAAGCCACAATAAAAGTGAGCTGCCGGGGACCTATAATGATGATGCACCAGTGATGCAATCCTTTTATTTTTGCAGTAAGTAATTTTATCATTGTTTTTTTTTTTTTGCATTGCCACTTTTTTTCGCATCATTAACTTCCGTTGTGGCTTTTTTTATCTGCACTGTCTCCTTTTTTATTTGCAGCAGGCTTTTTTTTTTTTTATCATCAGTAACTTCCCTTGTGGCTTTTTATTTTTGCATCCTTTTATTTTCACAGTAATTTAGTTTTTTTTTTCCATTGCCAAATTTTTTTCTAACTGTTCTGTCTCTTGTTTTTATTTCGCAGCAGGCTTTGGTTTCTTTCTTTGTTTGCATCAGTAACTTCCGTTATGGCTTCTTTTATTTTTTTTTGCATCCCTTTTTATTTGCAGCAGTGGTGGTTCTCGGCCACCGTACAAATGAGTCCTAATAATCGTCAAAAAAAAAAAAAAAGAAACGTATATTTATTCAGATCCCGGTCCCACTTTGTCGCCCCCTGCTGGCCGTTATGATGTCGAACAGTTTCTAATGTCCCCAAACAGAGAGGCTGAAATCTTAAGGATCATAACTTTAAACTTTAATATTTTTCTTCTTATAAAAACATTAAAAGTGCGTGTCTCCTTTTGTTTTCTGTACTGTACCTCCAGCATCACCACACAGATCTGTTTGACACACTGGATGATGGCTTCTGGCGCCCCTGAAATCGTCACCGCTCGCTCGGTGGAGTTGGGGAGCATGTCACCTGCGACCTGCACCTGAGCTCCTGTGGACTGAAGGTGAGAATAGAGAGAAGTTCAGAGTGAAAAATGAGACTGAAATAACCCGCGAACTGAGCGGAATATTCATGCTGAACACTGACAAAATATGAACCGTATGGAAGTCAAACTGTGCCATCTGATTTTCAATTTGAATTTCTAAAGTCATCAAAATCCGACTTTGAATTTCAAAACTGTCAAATTTCAAGCACACATTTTTATTTCTCACACTTATTTTTTCACAATGATGAAATAGATTCAGTGTATAAAATATCAGTCTCTCAAAAGATTTTTTTAGTAAAGATTCAACTTTAAAAAATGTGTTTTTGTGTTTTTTTACAGTTTTTTAAAAGTATATATATATATATATATAAAGGGTAGAGAATCAGTCAAGTACATTAAAGAGGAACAAAATAAATAAAATAAGAAAATAAATAAATAAAGAAGAAAAAGGCTGCAACAATAATATTAATAAACTCAAGTGTGTTTATAGGCTGTATATATGAACATACTCATACACATGCATACAGACAAATTACACATTTCTTAGCCAAATATGTGATTATAATTAATTTTCTGCATTTTTTCGGTCCAGCTGAAGATCCAGTGGTCTGAGATCAAATTCAGTTTCAGAAACTGAATGTTTGAAGGAATAAAATTGATTTCCAGAAACTTTTTCGAAGATCCCATTCACAAAAACATAAACTGTTCAACACAAATGTTCCCTCAGTCCTCTTACATCCACAGATACGCTCTGAGATTTCATGCGTTTTCATTGGAGTTAAATACAGTTTGTGAATAAATGTGAAATGAGCTTCTTTGATTTTATTACCAGGAAATGGAAAGTGTTTTTTTTTCCTCACATATAGAAGTTATTTCTGTTTCAGACTCTACCTCTCTCATTTCTTTGATTTTGGAGCCGCCCTTCCCGATGAGCGAGCCGCACTGGCTGGCCGGGACGACGAGCCGCAGGGTTACGGGAGGTTTACTGGTGGCTGGACTGTTGCTCATGGAGTTGATGATATCCTGAGGAGAGGAGACCGAGACAGAGAGGTGAGTTAGAGAGGAGAGAGACCGGCACAGAAGCAGTTTACTGTCCTCACAGAAGAGATCCAAACTGTCACAGAGCTGAACCTCAGAACCAGGGCGGGTAAAAAACTCTAAATCAGAGGTTCTCAACAGGAGTCCAGAGGTCACGACCCACTTTTACAGAAATCAAACCAAACAAATGTATTTTTTATCCTTTTTAAAACTCGAATCTCTGACACAAATACACCTGTTTTATTGAATAAGGGGATTTCAGAGCACACACTGAGAACAATCCAGTTCTTACCAAGACAACAAAACCAAACTTAGATTCAGAATCAGAATCAATTTTTTCTCTACATTTCTATTTTTGGTTGAACTAATCTTCAGCTTCATTTGATCAAAGGAAGAAAAATAAATATGTCATTGATTAGATTTAGTCGATTTCACTGATTTTAGGGCTGGAAAAGTGACATTTTAATCATCTGATCTTAAACCAGCATGTTTGTCTGACTTTAATCTTCCAAATACATTTGTAGACATGATTATTTCTAGACTGAACAATCTTCATTCAAGAAATCTTGTTTAGTGAAATGATCTAGTGTTTTTATTTTGTTTTTATCTTATTTGATTATGTTTTTATCTTGTTTTTAGTGTTTTTATCTTGTTTTTGTCTTATTTGAGCTTGTTTTTATCTTGTTTTTAGTGTTTTTATCTTATTTGATCTTGTTTTTATCTTGTTTTTAGTGTTTTTATCTTATTTGATCTTGTTTTATCTTGTTTTTAGTGTTTTTATCTTGTTTTTAGACCCTCCTTTTTTGCGGCGCATGAACTGAGGACGACATCTCCTGAAGTTACATGTGCAGAAAATATCAAATATTAATTAAAAATCAAATTGCACAAAATGAGCTATTTTTCAAAATAAAAGCTCTGTGCATTAATTATCTTCTGCTTTGACCGTCCAGAACGTGACCGCGACCCACTTTTGGGTCAGGACCCACCAGTTGAGAACCACTGCTCATGTCGAGAAATGACGGTTTCACCTCTTCAAACTTGTAGGCGATCATGGCGAAGGCCTTGAAAATGGCGTCTGTCGGCCCGGTGATGGTGACTATCCGCTCAGGACAGTTCCCCTCTGAGATGTTGATTCTGGCGCCGCTCTGCAGGCAGGACAAAAAACAAAAACAGGCACAAATATTTTTAAAAATCCGCTCTAACGGAGGACGAACTTTCCTGAAGTGATGAACTTACATCCTCACGCATCTTCTTCACCGTCTCTCCTTTCTGCAGAGAAAGAGAAACCACATCGTTGAGCTGTTCGGACTCATTCATCTCTAAACCTTTTTTTTAATGACTTTGTGATCATAAATACCTTTCCTATGATGCTCCCGACCTCCTGCAACAAAAACAAACAGCGTTAGAGAAACAGAATCGTCCTTTTCCTTCAGTATTTAATGAAATCTGCCAGTAGGAGGCGTCTGCACAGCCTGAGGTCGGGTTTCCGGCTGCGTTTGACTTCCGTACCTTGCCGTGCATCAGCAGGCGGATGGTGAGGGTCACATTCAGTCCACCTTCTGATTGGACCTTGATGGGCTCCATTGTCGGGATTGGATGTGAAGGAAGGGGCGTGGTCACGAGAAAGAGGAGTGCGAAGGAGGGCCAAGGCGAGTGTGATGGTGGAGTCAGCCAACCGGTCACCTGAGGGGATTTCAAAATAAAAGCTCTGAGTTTAATCAAAGAAAGCGAGAGGAGGTTTCTCCTGATGACCGAGGCGCTTTAGTGCGGTCAGAGAAGATCTCCTCCACCTCCAACCCCACCCCCAAATATCGCCGTGGGACTCTGTCCGTGGGACACTACAAGTACTTGAAATCACTTATCTATCATCATACAAATGTGTTTGGAAGATTAAATTCAGACAAACATGCAGATTATTAGAATGTCACTTTTCCAGCCCTAAAATCAGTGAAATAAACTTGATATAAGTTTTTTTTTTTGTCTTGGTAAGAACCAAATCATCTGCATCGTGGGGATATTTGGATTTTTCGGGGTGGTTGCAGTATTTTCTCATGTACAGAGTGATAAAAAGAGATACCCACAGTCCTCTAGTCTGTTATGAATATTATTATCTAATACTATAAAAAAAAAAACAGCTGAGAAACCTCACGTCATATTTGCTCCTGACTAAGTCTAAGTCTTTATTCCGGGGTCGTATGGTCTGGCTCTGAGTCTGCTCTGTTGTTGGTCTTTGCTGCTGCTCTGCCCTCCTTAACTTCACATGTATTCACCTGAAACAGAGGGAGACGTGCTCCCCCCGCCTCAGGGTGGAAAAGTACAGCATTAAAGCAGGAAGAGACGCCATCTTTGCACGTGTTGTGGTGGAAATGGTGTTTTTCTCCACGGTGATAAAAGCTGATGAAATGTAGGTCAGCGTATGAACCATCGACCATGAGCGCAGTATTTATTTTTATCAAGCAGCTGGAGCTGTCTCACTCTGCCTGACAGGTGATGTAATGAGTCAAACAGGCCCGCAGTGCAGAGAGAGGCCACGGGGGGGCGCCACAGCCCTGGGAATGAATTTTAGGATTCCATGCAGAATGGTCTGAGATTTAATCTGGTCACAATCCAAAACACAAAGAGCAAATTTGACAAATTGAGCGTTTTAAAGACGAGCAGGGGTTAAAGGTTCTGTGAATCTTAAACACGGACTTTAAATGAGCTGAAAAATCTCCGAAACGTAGGAATACGACAGAAAACGAAGAGATTTTAGCAGACGATGATTCACCCTTCTCTAAGTGTAAAATACTCCTGTAGGATGACAGATAATGTGGTTTAGAGGGACGTTTGGTCGGTTTGAAGGAGTTCCTGTTGAATAAATCTGATTTTAAGTGAAAGACAAAGAAGAATATCGAATAGATCCAAGAGAACTCCTTTAATATTTCACTGTTTTTGAAGACAAAGCCCCACGCTGCAGTTTGTAACTCTGTGAGGTCGTCCTGCAGCGAGCTCCTCAGATCCTCCTGAAGACACACTTCAGGTTCATTCAGACTTCTGAGGCCTCCTGTCAGAAAAACACGCTCCTGGAGCGGCTGACCTTGACTCAACAGACAGAGAAAGTCACCGTCTGCCAATCAAACTCATTGTTGCTATGTGAAGAGGATTTCCCCTCCTCCTCCTCCTCCTCCTCCTCCGCCCTCATTATCAGACCCAGTCAACACTTCAGGTTTAGCTCTTTGTGTACAAAAAAAAACTAAAAATCAGACCCACTGATGGAGGAGCTCAGAGCTGCTAAGCTGCAGGGAAACACTCAGAGAAAAAATAAATAAATAAATAAAATAATAATAATAATAATAATATTTAATACTTTAAATGTGTTAAAGAGATACTCAGAGCTGGTTAGCTGCAGGAAATATCAGGGAAAAAAATTAATAATAAAAAAAAAGAAAATAATAATAATAATAATAATAATAATAATATTAGTAAAAATATTTAATACTTTAAATGTGTTGAAGAGATACTCAGAGCTGGTTAGCTGCAGGAAATATCAGGAAAAAAAGAAAAAATTATATATATATATATATATATATATATATATATATATATATATATATAATGCAAATTTATAATATAATAATAATAAAAATATCAAATATTGTAATTTTAGTTTGAGAGGTGCTCAGTTTTATCAGCATATATTTATATATATATAAATGTGTGTGTGACCCATTGTTTACATTCACACAGTAAGAGCCTATGGGACTCTACAGGTCAGCTGATCATAGATATAGATCTGTAAAAGACTAGATTGATCATTTACGGTCCAGTCATGAAGTTTTTCCTGTTTCAAGTCTGTTTCTGTTTGAAATAAACGACTGAATAAAAGTGAGAGATAAACTCTGTGACAGGAGAAACCGAAGTAAAAAACAAGTATTGATGAATTAATCAGTATCAGTACTGGTATCAGTATGTGTACAGATACTTCAGTCTCATTTGTGTCATATTGATATCCGCTGGTATCTGTATGTCATGTTGGTATCAGTTTAAAGATCTGTAATGATTGAATAACACGAACATTTCCCTGAACAGAAGTCCTGATAAGAAACGATCAATAACTCTGAATCATCTCCGATCGGTTTATTGAGTGTCTGATCAGGAGGAGAGTCTGCAGGTTTCTGTGAACTGTGGTTCATCAGCTCTCGTGGTTCTGCAGTTTGAACATGTTCAGAGTCATTTAGGGGTTTACAGTGAGACCTGCACACACGGACTGGACTCTGACCCCCCATCCCCGTCCTCAGAAACCGTCCTGCTCTTAATCTGGGCGGAGCTGCTGCGAGCTGAGGGCCAGGGGAGGTTCGAGAGATAAGGACGGGGATTCTGATGCCAGCTGTCTCTCCAATCTCCCAGAGGAGACCAGATTACATAAAAAGCCTTAATCCGGGTTTAAGACCCGGGCCAGCGGTGCAGGTCCTCTCCAGAGGCAGCGAGAGAGCGAGCAGAGGGGGGCGGGGGGTAAAAACCAAGATTGACGCTGATGCTGAATGTTGTTCAGTAACTTTTCTGAGGGAAACAGACTAAAAACAAGATAAATGATCTGTCCATGCAGCAAGATCATTTCACTAAACAAGATTTCTTGAATGAAGATTGTTCAGTCTAGAAATAATCATGTCTACAAATGTATTTGGAAGATTAAAGTCAGACAAACATGCTGGTTTAAGATCAGATGATTAAAATGTCACTTTTCCAGCCCTAAAATCAGTGAAATGGACTAAATCTAATCAATGACATATTTATTTTTCTTCCTTTGATCAAATGAAGCTGAAGATTAGTTCAACCAAAAATAGAAATGTAGAGAAAAAATACCCAGTATTAGTGAAGAATGACTAAACTCTGTCTCAATCCAAGCAGGCTGATCTTGAAACAAGGCTTACTGAATCTGAAAACAAGATTCCTTTGGATGAGACTAGAACTGATTTGAACAGTTATTTTTCTCATGTGAAGATTTCCTGACTATTGGAGACAAACAGAAGAGAAGGTTGTTGGAGTGAAGATTACAGTGGAAACTTAAAGACTCTGAAAACAGGAGAAATTCTCCAACACTTCTGGATCTACGCTTGGGTTTGTTGGAGTCCTGGTCCAGGTTCAGGTGGACCTAAGTGAGCGTGTGGAGGAGGTCGTGGTCGTGGTCGTGGTCGTCCTCACAGACCGTGTTTTTCTGCTGAAGTAGGTCAAGGCCCCGTGAATCATCGGGCCCCTCCGGGCCCCCAGCTCCCAGCCCAGGGCGGGTTTTTATTTTGGGGCTGCTCCTCTGAAATCCTCCTCCACCTCCTATCTGCATCTCCTCCACCTGACCTCCTGCTCTGGTCTTCTCCTCTCGTGTCTCCGGCAGGAAGTTGGCGAACGAGAATCGCAGAGAGGACGGCGGGGAATATTTCATGACATCTGACGGAGAAAGTGGGTCATGCTCGGTGTTGCGGCGCTGTTAGCCTCCTCCTCCTCCTCCTCCTCCTCTTCCTCCTCTATGGCGGCTATTGAATTAATCACGCTTTACGCTCGGCTGGACAACGCAGTGCACAAAATGGCTCCCCCACCCCGCTCTCCTCCTCCTCCTCCCCCCTCCGCCTCCCATCTCAGAACAGACTCGTGCGTTTGGCTCCTGAAGACCTTGTATCAGGGTCTGGATCCTCTTTTCTGTCCCCGAACAATGAGGAGATGCTGCTTCTGTGCGGAGTCAGCCGAGTGTAAACGGCGCAGAAACACTCAGAGATGGACCAGAGAGCAAACTTAAAGGGCCGCTTCGTCTGTTTTCAAGCTTTCAGTCTTTTTTTTTGGTCCCATCACAAACAGAAACCTGGACCCTGAACTCTGGATCAGGAGCTAAGTGACCATCAACTTCCTCTGGCCTCCTCTGACTCCGTCCATGTCACTCCTGCTCGTGTCAGGAGGTGCTATAAAGCGTGAAAACGACACAGCTCTAATCGGAGCTCTCTTACAGCCTGAATATAGATGTCACCCCATCATTTCTTCTGGTTTTAGAGGTTCAAGATCTACTTCACAGATCTAGGACGAGAGCGTATCAGAGAAATATTCTCTCAGATTTACTTCTGCATTTAAAAAAGGAAGAAAACGTCACGACTCAACGGATTCACACTAAAGCTCCAGTCAGGAGTTTTAGCTGAGAGAGAAAAAAAATCAAGAAAAATAGAGAGAGATGAAATCCTGTAAAGAAAATGATTAAATGGACGAGCAGCAGTCTAATCTGGGCCAAAGCCTGTGTCATCTGTTCCCTCCTAATCCACGACATATCTACAGATATGATGTTATTATGACGTTTGGAGATATATATATACCTATATACATAAATACATAAATATATATATATGAGGGAGTTTAGGGTTATTATTGTAGAGACACGTTGGAGAGTTAAAGGGATATTCTGTTTTTATTACTTTAGGGTCAAACCCACCGTAACACAGAGTCAGACCCCCCCTCCAGAGATGAATGTTGTCGACCGCAGGATAGAAATACAGAGAGGTCTGAGGAGCCATAAACAAACCTCAACCAAAACACCACTCTATAGCCACAAATAATGCTCAGAACAGCACCTAACTTCATCAGCGGGGTGCCGCAGCTCAAGGAAGAACATTTATGATCATTTCTTCATGGAAATACAATCAGACCGAGACGCTAAGACAGAAGAACTACAGCGTCTGTAAAATGATCAATATGATGATTATTACTTCAAGGAAATGATAAAGAAATGATCATAAATGTTCTTCCTTGAGCTGAGGCACCCCGCTGATGAAGTTAGGTGCTGTTCTGAGCATTATTTGTGTCTATAGAGTGGCGTTTTGGTTGGGGGCGTGTCTCTCTGTATTTCTATCCTGCGGTCGTTACTAAAGTTGGTATAACTAGAGAAGCAAGCGGTCGACAACATTCATCTCTGGAGGGGGCGGGGTCTAACTCAGTGTCATGGTGGATCTGACCCATGTCCTCGTCCTGGTCGATCTGGTCTTGATTCAGTAGGAGGATCTATGAGGTCTGGTGGACTTTTTACATCATGTACCAAAACAATCGACAGACAGGTTAGCAGGAGGCTCTGGAGCGCGTGAAGAGTGAAGACTCTGAGACTCAGAGACTCAGAGACTCAAAGACTCAGAGACTCAGAGACTCAGAGACTCAAAGACCAAAAGACTCAAAGACTCAAAAGACTCAAAGACTCAGAGACTCAGAGACTCAAAGAATCAGAGACTCAACGACCAAAAGACTCAAAGACTCAAAAGACTCAAAGACTCAGAGACTCAAAGACTCAAAGAATCAGAGACTCAACGACCAAAAGACTCAAAGACTCAGAGACTCAGAGACTCAAAGACTCAAAGAATCAGAGACTCAACGACCAAAAGACTCAAAGACTCAAAAGACTCAGAAACTCAAAGACTCAAAGACTCAAAGAATCAGAGACTCAACGACCAAAAGACTCAATGACTCAAAGACTCAGAGACTCAAAGACTCAAAGACTCAAAGACTCAGAGACTCAGAGACTCAACGACCAAAAGACTCAAAGACTCAAAGACTCAGAGACTCAAAGACTCAGAGACTCAAAGACTCAAAGACTCAGAGACTCAAAGACTCAAAAGACTCAAAGAATCAGAGACTCAGTAACCAAAAAACTCAAAGACTCAGAGACTCAATGACTCAGAGACTCAAAGACTCAGAGACCAAAAGACTCAAAGACTCAGAGACCAAAAGACTCAAAAGACTCAAAGACTCAGAGACTCAAAGACTCAAAGACTCAAAGACTCAGAGACTCAGAGACTCAACAACCAAAAGACTCAAAGACCAAAAGACTCAAAGACTCAGAGACCAAAAGACTCAAAAAACTCAAAGACTCAGAGACTCAAAGACTCAAAGAATCAGAGACTCAGAGACTCAAAGATTCAAAGACCAAAAACTCAATGACTCAGAGACTCAGAGACTCAAAGAATCAGAGACTCAGAGACTCAGAGACTCAAAGATTCAAAGACCAAAAACTCAAAGACTCAGAGACTCAGAGACTCAAAGAATCAGAGACTCAAAGACCAAAAGACTCAAAGACTCAAGAGACTCAAAAGACTCAGACTCAGAGACTCAACGACCAAAAGACTCAACGACCAAAAGACTCAAAGACTCAAAGACTCAAAGAATCAGAGACTCAAAGAATCAGAGACTCAAAGACTCAGACTCAAAGACTCAATGACTCAGAGACTCAATGACTCAGAGACTCAAAGACTCAGAGACTCAAAGACTCAAAGAATCAGAGACTCAAAGACTCAAAGACTCAGAGACTCAAAGACTCAGAGACTCAGAGACTCAAAGACTCAGAGACTCAGAGACTCAAAGACTCAAAGAATCAGAGACTCAAAGACTCAAAGACTCAGAGACTCAAAGACTCAAAGACTCAGAGACTCGAAGACTCAGAGACTCAAAGACTCAAAGAATCAGAGACTCAAAGACTCAAAGAATCAGAGACTCAAAGACTCAAAGACTCAAAGACTCAGAGACTCAAAGACTCAATGACTCAAAGACTCAGAGACTCAATGACTCAAAGACTCAGAGACTCAACGACCAAAAGACTCAAAGACTCAAAGACTCAGAGACTCAAAGACTCAAAAGACTCAAAGAATTAGAGACTCAGTAACCAAAAAACTCAAAGACTCAGAGACTCAAAAGACTCAAAGACTCAGAGACCCAAAGACTCAAAGACTCAGAGACTCAAAGACTCAGAGACTCAACAACCAGAAGACTCAAAGACTCAAAGACTCAGAGACCAAAAGACTCAAAGACTCAGAGACTTAAAGACTCAAAGACTAAGAGACCAAAAGACTCAAAGACTCAAAGAGTCAGAGACTCAAAGACTCAGAGACTCAGAGGCTCAAAAGACTCAAAGACTCAGAGACTCAAAGACTCAGAGACTCAAAGACTCAGAGACTCAGAGACTCAAAGACTCAGAGACTCAGAGACTCAAAGACTCAAAGAATCAGAGACTCAAAGACTCAGAGACTCAAAGACTCAGAGACTCAAAGACTCAGAGACTCAGAGACTCAGAGACTTAAAAGACTCAAAGACTCAGAGACTCAAAAGACTCAAAGACTCAGAGACTCAAAGACTCAGAGATGGACCTGCAGATGTCTGCAGCTGCGCCGTCACTCAGCCGTGGAAGAATCGGTTCAGTGGTTAAGTTGGACCTCGGCCCGCCGCAGAGATCTCCTGACCCTCATGTTTGTGCTCCAATTAGGGGGGAACAAAAGGGAAATTAGCGTGCATGTAGGGCAGCGAGGGGGCGGGGCGGGGGCGGGGCGGGGGGGTCCATCTGCTCAGAGCTTCTCAGTTACACAGAGGCGCTTCACTTTCTCCCTTCATGGCCTGATCACAAAGAGACAAAGTTTGGGACAGGAAGTACTGACGTGGGGGGCGGTGGCGGCGGCGTTGGTCGTTCCTGTCAGGAACTGTAACCGTGAGCGAATCTAACGCAGAAATCGGCGCGTTCCAGCGAGTCCTGAGGATGTGAGTTTGCTGGTATATGAGCAGCTCCGGTCTCGTCTGGCGCAGGCTTTTGTTGTGCGTGGTGCGGCGCAGCGGAGTGGAGGGGGGCGGTCCACCCCATCGGCCTTCCTATACGCCGCTATGACAGTGCGCTCCAGAGCTGTCAACCCGCATCAGCAGCCGGGCTTCATGATAACTCAGTCCAAATCACAATCAAAACTGCGGCCGCCACATCCTCGCCACGACCAGTCAAATCAGAGGATTGGGAGAGTCAGGGCGGCCAGGAGACCAACTATCACCAAGTGGCGTTAAAGTCCCTCTCAGAGCGCCGTGTGCCGGCTTAAAATAGTCCAGCTGAGGGGGGTGGGGGGGCCCGGCCAGTGGACGCCGGGTCATTTGATTAGAGCGCTTTACGATGCAGGAACACCATGTTGTGCAATGAATGCGGCGCTAAGAGCCCAGCGTTAAGTCGGCCATTTTAGATTTGCCACAATTTGTAATGTGAGATCAGCGCTTGTCACAAAGTCATGGCGAGGGGTCGCCCAGAAACCACGTCCCCTTCACTGAGGTCCCCGTTTTTCTGGTCGCCGCCGCAGGAGCTGATTCGATTACAGCTTTTTTTACAGACGGCAGACTTTCGCCGCTAATCTCACCGCCAAACTATCAAACAAAGGAGTCCAATCAAGTCGAACCAGGAGCTTAGCGCTCTCCGAGAGGAGGCCGACAGATCAGCCTGACGATAATTGAAATAACGATCTGGAGTTTCACTGACCGACGGCGAGAAAAAGGTCGATCTGCGGAAACATTTCAGGGTGTCCCTCGTTCCTGTCGCGTCCCAGACTTCATCATTCGACAAAAAAACCGCTCATGCCTGAATCATCGCCGAGACAATGAACTCGCAAACAATGACCATCACAGCAGCGTGAAGACAAACGGACGAGCTGAGGATCCGCGGGGGGAACCCCAATATTTCTACACAGCACGCCGTCACCGTGGCAAACTTCGGAGAGCGTTAACTCGATCCACTCCGAAAAAAAGGAGGTTAGATAACGAGTCGATAAGTCACAGCTCGTTAACGATTTCCCTCCACTGTGGCCAAGTTATCCAGTTAATTAATTATTGAACAGCGTGACCTCACTCAGCTCGGCGCCGCGCCGCACAGCACCACGCTCAAGTTTAAAACAGTTTGATAGACGCACCATCAAGACTGGATTGGAGGTCTATAAATGTCAGGTATAGATTAGCTTGGATGTCGGCGTTCTGGGGGAACTCCAGAGCAAATCTGGGTTCAGAAATTTACCTCAAAAAAACCTTCAAAAGGAGCGTTTACCTTTCTGTGGCGCAGGATTCCGTAGATGACGACCACTTTCGGCGGTGCGAGATTAAAAATCGCAAAGAGAAAATGATTTTTTTTTTTCCCCTCTTCCTTTCGCTCTGCCCAGGACAAACACTGCCGCCTGATTGGTCCGTGCAAAGAGGTCACATGAGCGACCACAGGAACACGTGACGGTTCTCGGGGTTATGTGATGGAACCAAAGAGACTGGCATCCTGAGTGAGCACGCTTTCTGCTGCTGCTGCTGCGGCAGTGGCGGTGGCGGTGCGATTCCCTGTTTGTCTGACTTGTTTGGTGTGAAGTGTAAATAGGCCGTATGATGAGGCGTAATCTGGGTGACCATCACCCACCGCCCTGTCAGCATCCCCTCCTCCCTCAGCTGCAGCGAAAAGGGGGGCATGCCCACTGAGGCGGGCGGGCGGGCGGGCGGGCGGGCACTGCGGCGGTTTGTCTGAATCAGACCATCTCAGATGATCTGGACGGACATGGAAACAACCGCCAAACAACCCCGAACTCGGACCTGATGGACAGCTGAGGACCTTTTGGAGATCCTGGCGTTCATCATCCATCACACCAACACACCGCCACCGCCACATGCATAACCTCTCAGCCCCTCTGCTTTTTAATCTGCTTCCAGTGTGTGTGTGTGTGTGTGTGTGTGTGTGTGTGTGTGTGTGTGTGTGTGTGTGTGTGTGTGTGTGCCCATCCAGATTTTTCCAATCCAGCGTAAATTTTTCCAATCCAGCGAAAATCCAGCCCTCGTGTCAGATGGACAGTTGTGCACAGAGCTTAATCTGACATTATTAGGGTTGGACAGCAGCAGTTTAAGAAGCAAACGGCTGGATTAGGAGCAGCAGCGACAAAGAACACAATAAAAACGTCCGTCCACCTTCATCCACGACCAAAACCCAACCGTTGATCCAGAAGTGTTGGAGAATTTCTCCTGTTTTCAGAGTCTTTAAGTTTCCACTGTAATCTTCTCTCCAACAACCTTCTCTTCTGTTTGTCTCCAATAGTCAGGAAATCTTCACATGAGAAAAATAACTGTTCAAATCAGTTCTAGTCTCATCCAAAGGAATCTTGTTTTCAGATTCAGTAAGCCTTGTTTCAAGATCAGCCTGCTTGGATTGAGACAGAGTTTAGTCATTCTTCACTAATACTGGGTATTTTTTCTCTACATTTCTATTTTTGGTTGAACTAATCTTCAGCTTCATTTGATCAAAGGAAGAAAAATAAATATGTCATTGATTAGATTTAGTCGATTTCACTGATTTTAGGGCTGGAAAAGTGACATTTTAATCATCTGATCTTAAACCAGCATGTTTGTCTGACTTTAATCTTCCAAATACATTTCACTTGTTTTTAGCTCCTTTTCCCTCAGATTTAGTGTTTTTATCTCTTTTTTTCGCAGTGCAATAAAACACAGAGAAAGGAGGCCCTAAATACGCGTACTATACCTTTACAAGAATACAGACGGTCAGGACGCCTTTACCTACCCACCCGACTGTAAAACAGCCCATGGGACAAAATACAAATAGAGCATTAAATCTGCTCCACATCCACCGATAAAAGGGAGAGTGTGCGGTTAAAAAAAAAACACGGATTCACCACGTCAGAGGAAATCTGCTTTATATTCAGACCGCACTGTTGGCTCACCTTCAAAACCCAAATCAAGACGGGTGGCGGCCCAGGATCAAAAACCACTTTACAGAACCGTCGTGGATAATTAAGGGGAGTCTCCGGTCCAAGTTCAGAACCAGCGCTCGCTCTGTCCGAGTGTTTGATGGAGCAGGGGGAGTTAACAGTGAGGAGAACACAAAAGAACTTTAGGGGAACAAAAAAATTAATCTAATAACGTTTGTCTTATTGATCGACCTTAGTTCTATTATTAGAAATCAATTTTAGGTCTTTTGGACACATGACTATTGAAGGAAAACAGCCCGTCGACGGTCCCTTATTCAACACCGACGTTGACAGTGAGGGTGCAGATATGGAAGTCAAACTGTGCCATCTGATTTTTTATTTTAATTTCTTAAGCTGAACTTTTTTGCATCAAAATCAGACTTTGAATTTGGAAACTATTGAATTTCAAACATTCATTTTTATTTCTGACACTTTTTTTTCAGAGTGATGAAATAAATTCAGTGTAAAAAAAAAAATCAGTCCCTCAAAAGATTGTTTAGCTAAAATTCAGCTTAAAAAAAAACATGTAAAAAAAAACAAACAAACTGTAAAACAGAGCGACTCAACATCCTGGTAATCAGGGAGAAGCAATCGATTCCTCAACCTTCCACTGGGTCACATGACTAATCTAACATTAATTGATTGGCTGGACGATGGATGATTGACATTGAATTTTTTTTAAATTTGATTTTTTATGTTGAATTTTTTTTTCAGGTTATTTTTTAAGTTGAATTCTTACTAAACAATCTTTTGAGAGACTGATTCTTTTAAACTGAATTTATTTCATCACTGAAAAAAAAGTGTCAGAAATAAAAATGCATGTTTGAAATTCAATAGTTTCCAAATTTAAAGTCTGATTTTGATGAAAAAAAAATTCAGTTTAAGAAATTCAAATTCAAAATCAGATGGCACAGTTTGACTTCCATACATGGAGTAGATTAAACCGCGCTGCTGTTGTTTTTCTCGGAGAGTGAGACGAGAGATCCGCGGCGAATATCCAACCTAAGACTAACTTCGCCGCCGTGTTCACAGGAAATAAAACAGTTGTTGATTTTTTTAAGCGCACATGTGACCCGAAACATATTTAATAATTCACACACATCGACTTTAGAGTGAAACGGTCACGCTGTCGAGCCCTGGGTCAGCTACCTCCATCAAACCCTTCAGGTCAAAGGTCAAACAGCTTACCGGTGAAGACGCGGGGAAGCTCCTGAGCAGGAGAGGAGAGGTGCACTCTGGGAGTTACGGACCAAGATGGCAGATGACGGGCACACTAACACGCCGGGCGGCTCTCAGGGTCCTTTAAGTGAAGTAACCCCGCCCATGGCCTCCAGCAAGGTGATGAACCCTGGCTGATCCGGCGTGTTCAGACCCCCCCCACGCCATCCCGTCCTAATAACCACCGTGTGTCCCGTCAGGGCGCCAGGGTCCTAATGGAGGCAGACGGGCGTGAAGGAGAGAGTGAGGGAGATCACTGCGGCGGTCAATCCAGCTGATTGTTGATGGACCGTGGCGACAAAAGGGGGCTGAGCTGACCCCGTTTGTTCCAAAGTGGCGTGGAAGTGTTTGATTCTGGCGAAGTTCCTGGAACTTTATTCTGATCCCCGAGAGAAGAACCAGAACCTCAGGGAACCTTTTTAAAGTCCGTTTCCTTTAGGGCGCTTCACCGCCGCCGCCGCCGCTCCAGACCACGTGTGATTTACACTCGGGCTGAAAAAAGGAACAAGGTTCGAGGAAGTGTCGATGGAGGTCAGAGGAACAGGAAGTGAGGGAGGAAGTCAGTGAGGAAGTGAGGGAGGAAGTCAGTGAGGAAGTGAGGGAGGAAGTGAGGGGGCTTTATGAGTGAGGGGTCAGGAGGGCGTCTGTAACTGTTACCGCCAATTTTCACCGCATTAGGAACGGCGCCGAAGAGGCCGAATCTGCCGATCACAGCTGATCGTAACCAATCAAGTTAATGGAGAGGAGGAGAGGGAGCAAGGAAAGGAAAGAAGGAGACAAGGAGAGGGAGCAAGGAGAAGAAACAAGGAGGAGAGGAGAGGGAGCAAGGAAAGGAGGAGAGGAACCAAGAAAAGGAAATAAGGAGACAAGTAGAGGGAGCAAGAAGAGGAAGCAAGGAGGAGATGAGAGGGAGCAAGAGAAGGAAATGAGGGGGCAAAGAGAGGGAGCAAGGAGAGGAACAAGGAGGAGGAGAGGGAGCAAGGAAAGGAGGAGAGGAAGCAAGAAAAGGAAATAAGGAGACAAGGAGAGGGAGCAAGAAGAGGGAGCAAGGAGGAGAGAAGAGAGAGCAAGGAAAAAAGGAGAGGAGCAAGGAAAGGAAACAAGGAGGGGGGGAGGAGAGGGAGCAAGGAGAGGAAACAAGGAGAGGAGGAGAGGAGACAAGGAGAGGAAGCAAGGAGATGAAACATGGAGAGGAGAAGAGGGAGCAAGGAGAGAAGGAGAGGGAGCAAGGAGAGGGAGAGAGGGAACAAGGAGAGGAAACAAGGAGAGGAGGTGAGGGAGCATGAATTTCCCCTGTTCTGGATGATAGTTGTGGGTCCGACTCTTCAGTGGAGGTTCCTTCAGTTCTGGTTCTGGTCGCTCTGAGAGCTGCAGGTCCGGGTGAAGCAGCTGCTGTTGGAGGTTCGACTCAGAAAGAGTTTGATTGGACGTGATTTGATTGGACGGTGCTGTCTAATCTCTGATTGGACGTGTTCGGGTGATGGACTGAGTATTTATCGGTGCTGTCTAATCTCTGGAGTACCTCAGGGTTCTGGTGTTTTGTTACCTGCTGATCCTCAGAAATCTGTTTGTGCTTCCATGTCCTTCAGTCTGAGTCTCGCACAGACGGAGGATGCTGTTCTTACAGATATGGTCGTATAAATAAAAACCCCTCCTGAACCCCGCCCCCTCCCCCCGGTCCTGGATGATGGTCGTGGTCGTCCCGTCGGCCTTCACAGGACCGCTCTTCTGTCTGGGGAACAATAACCCTCCTGAAAGTATTCAGCCCGCTCTGAAAGCTCCACACAAAACAACCTCAGAGTCCTAATGGAAAATATCGCCCCGACCCCCTCCAACCATGTGGTCAATGCGGCCAGTAATGGAAACACGCCGCCCGCTCGCTCGCCCTCCCGCCCCCCGGCGAAAGCCGATGATGAATAGAGCTGTGTTTGAGGAGGAACTTTGACTGCGTCTGAGTCTGAGCGAATAAACAACCACGAGGAGGCCCACGCCATCGGCTCAGACTTGGTTTTTGGTTCAGGTTCGATTTCAGAATATTTTCATCTTTTTAATCCTCTAATCTAATCCTAATCTCTCCTCCTCATCGTCCAAGAGCACGGTCCTCGCCACCGTAAATTCAAATATGTAGAAATAAATACAACCATCCAAACACGACCTCCGGAGGGTTTTTAGAGTCGGCTTTAGTCCACTGTCGACCCTGTTCCATTCGAACCGTGACCTTTGGGAGGATCTTTACAGCTGTTTCACTCAGGACGTTAACATTTACACTCCAGAACACCGAATTATCGTCTTATTCCGATTAAGAGCGGAGAACTGAAGGTCATGTAAACACCTTAGTCCGACTATCATCAGAGTTTGAGAACTCCGATTTTCTCTACCATGTAACCAGCGTAGTCGGAGTATGATCGGATACAGGCCACGCCCCCGTAACCCCGTAACAAACCCCCAGAGTAGAGGAGTAGCGTTGGTCTCGTCTTTAGAAAAAGTAGCGCGTCCATCATGTCGGACAAAAACAACGCTGTACGATGCTCCCATATCGCCCCCTAGTGTTGGGGAGGAGGACACGTTCACGTCAATAATTCAGTTTTTTCAGCTACAAGGAGAGAAGTCCGATCGGAGAAAAAACACGAATGAGGTGTTTTTTTTTTTCGTGAATGCGCCCGCCTCT